GACTCGTCTTCATCTTTCTCTCACGAGTTCAGCCTTTAATTTAAAAATGGTGGTCCTGGAGCTGTGTAGCAGCTTGGCGCCAAAAGTTCTAGAACATAAAAACATCCCCGTCAGTATTTTATTCACCAGTGGCATAGGAAGGAAACGGGTGGGATCCTCAAGTGTCTGATGATGGTGCAGCCAGAAGCCCTCCCAGCTCCCCACACAACCCCGTACCATCTCTTTCCCTTCCGGGGTGCTGGCTTTGAGACTCCTTAAGGACTCCCTAGCTTTCCGATTGTCCCCATACCTCTGTTGCTGATGTTTGCCAAGGCTCTGATCCATGTGCTGGTGCTTTGGGCCGCTGGAGAGAGTCCAGCTCCTAGTAGGACGAAAGATGATGTGTAATAGCCAGTATCCTGGGGTGAGGAGGCCAGGAGGGGGTTAGCTCCTGTGCGTGCGTGCACGTGTGTGTGTGTGTGTCTTTAGGGAATTGATTAACACATGTATTCAAGGGCGATGTGTGTGTGTGTGTGTGTGTGTGTGTGTGTGTGTGTGTGTGTCTTTAGGGAATGGATTAACACATGTATTCAAGGGCGATGTGTATGTGGGTGTGGGTGTGGGTGTGTGTGTGTGTCTTTGGGGAATGGATTAACATATGTATTCAAGGGCAATGTGTGTGTGTGTGTATGTGTGTGTCTTTGGGGAAAGGATTAACACATGTATTCAAGGGCGATGTGTGTGTGTGTCTTTGGGGAATGGATTAACACATGTATTCAAGGGCGATGTGTGTGTGTGTGTGTGTGTGTGTGTGTGTCTTTGGGGAAAGGATTAACACATGTATTCAGGGGCGATGTGTATGTGTGTGTGTGTGTGTGTGTCTTTGGGGAGAGGATTAACACATGTATTCAGGGGCGATGTGTATGTGGGTGTGTGTGTGTGTGTGTGTCTTTAGGGAATGGATTAACACATGTATTCAAGGGCTATGTGTATGTGGGTGTGGGTGTGGGTGTGTGTGTGTGTCTTTGGGGAATGGATTAACACATGTATTCAGGGGCGATGTGTGTGTGTGTGTGTCTTTGGGGAAAGGATTAAGACATGTATTCAAGGGCAATGTGTATGTGGGTGTGTGTGTGTCTTTGGGGAAAGGATTAACACATGTATTCAAGGGCGATGTGTATGTGGGTGTGTGTGCGTGTGTGTGTGTCTTTGGGGAAAGGATTAACACATGTATTCAGGGGCGATGTGTATGTGGGTGTGTGTGCGTGTTTCTTCTCCATCACTGGTACAGCCCATTTTGATTTCAGAAACATCAGAAAACATAACCTGCTAAAAGAAGCCAGAAGGGGGAAGTTTATGGCAGTTCTAAGAAACATCCTGTTGGTCGGGATCTGAAACCATTTTGTAGTTTCTGAACAAATGGAAATTTTTTTTAAATTTCAGGACAGATGTTTAAATCTCTGTGTAAACACTGGAGATTTTGGAGGTGGGAGGAACGTCATATTGTCTCTCCAAAGCCACCTCATTTACAGGACAGGAAACAGAGGCCCAGGAAGTGGCCTCGCTCTAGAACAGTAGCAAACCATCTCCCAGTTAAAGCCGTCTGCACCCTGGCCCGGCCTGACCAGACTCTCCATTTAGAAGCATGATGCGTGTTCACAGGGCCAGAGTAACAGGAGAAGAGGGTAACAACGCAAAACCACCTCCCCTTGCCAGGTGCCTCCCTGAGCCAGAAATTCCACCCTTAGGTCATCCCTCTCTCCTCCAGTGGAAAAACCGACAGCCCAGCCAGAGCTGAGGAGACAGAGGGGCAGAGCCACGAAGGCAGGGGTTTCACACCCTGCCCACCTCCCCGATAAACTGATCCATTGTTTCTCCACACTCAGTCTTGAAGGACAAAGCAGTTGTGTAGGGATCCCCGATGTCAGCACATAGTCTGGGTTCGTTGCTCGGGGTGGGGGAGTGTGTGGGCTCAGGGAATGCAAAGTGCTCTGCTCAAGGTCACTGTAAAGGTTGTGCAGACAGCGTGAACAGGCGGCATCTCTGCTCAGCCTGGATCCACTGCAAGCCAGGGGATGTCGTTGACAGGAGCAGCCCCACCTGCTTTCTGGGCGCCTGTGAAGCCGGAGCAATCAGAGCAGAGATGAGCCCCAGCCTCCCACGTTGCCTGGGGCCCTGGTTTTCTTAATATGTTCTTTTCCAGTCAGCTACATAATTACACAAACCACAGGCTTCCTCAGGCAGGATCCCATTCCAATCAGGGCAAAACCTGGGCTTCACCCCGGGTTGCAGTGCAAACTAAAGAGCTTGTCACACGGAGAAGTTAGTTGCATCACCTAGATGTAAATCCGGCATCCTCCAAGGACCCGGGACCCTGTGTCTGTGCCCCTGGCAACACCCATAAGTCCTGGCTTTTCCTGGCCACAGCCTTAGTGCCCTGCAGATGTGACTGCTTCCAGGGTATGAGGAAGGGGGAGTGAGCACGGAAAAAGGAAAGGCCACCAGTGCACAGGGTAGAGCCAGTTCCAGGAGATCTGCCCAGCCCATTGTAGGCCAAAGGGTGTGGAGAAGGCTGCCAGGCAAGCAGGTGACTCTCCAGGTTCAGAGGTGGCTGCTGAGCGGTGGCCACTGACTGCCTTGAGGTCTCCAACATGGTCTCCTGGGCAAGAGTAAACCCAGGCATTGAAGAGGGACCTGGGCTTGGCTGATGGCGTGCGCACCCTGACAGGAGGTCAGTGGGGGAAGATGAGAGCCCGATACTTGGGGTAGGGCCTGCAGCCAGGCACTCTGACCCCACTAAGGTTTTCGTTTCTGAGCGGCAGAACTGATCACCGTTAGCTGTGAAACTTGCCATCGTGCTTCTGGGCGTCAGAACCCGTCCTTTCTGGTAGAGCACAGTATCGGACTCTAGGTTTTGAAGGTCCTTAAATGTTAAACCAGTCTTCATTTAGCCGACAGGAGGGCTATGTATCTAAAATAAGTTTTGCTCTAATATGCTGTATCTCAAAATCATGTATCACCTAATCCTCCCCCACTGATTCTGAATGCCTGCTTTATCATCTGCTGGATCCCAGCTCCTCGTTCAGTGTCTTTGTGTTCAACAAACACTGAGCCCTGTCCTCCTAACGATGCTGTTCTGGGGTGCAGGGTGCAGCAGAAAGCACAGCCAGCTCCTATCTGCATCTGCAGAGCAGCTAGTCTAAGAGGAGACACCATAAATACCCCAGGTGAACTAGATGGCCTACAGGTGGTGAAAAATTCCATGAATCAAAAGTAAAGCTCTGAGAATCCAGGGTGGCTGAGGAGCAATGTAAAACAAAGCACTCAGGGAAGAACCTGGATATGAAGGGGGCACTAAAGTTGCAAAGAATGATGGATGCACGCCAGAGGCCTTGAGGAAACACCACGTCTGTATCTAGAGGCCTCGGAAAGAGATGAGAAGAGAAGGGAACAGCCAGAACTCAGGTAGAAACTGTCCCACATGAACAATGGTGGTCTCTACAGCTCAGATGACTCGAGTATCAGAGATACAGCTCACACATCCATGGAGAAGAGAGGCCCAACATAAAGGTATTGCCACATGGGTGTGTATCCCCAGTTTCTGATGGGTGCAAGGCACACTGGGCGCCCTGAGCTGGCAGACATGGGCTCTTGTCTCTGCCTCCACCTTTACGAGACCCTCTCCTGTGTGACAGGAGCATGGGTCCTGGGATGCCGGGTCACCCTGAGTTCAGGATGGGTTCACAGCAACTGTTTCGACATCTTTACTTTTGCTGTGTTGCCTACAGTTTGACACGTGTTCCCTTTGCATACTGGCTACTCACTCCTCCTACCTCCCCTCCACAAATCTCTCTCACCCACTCATGCCCATTGGTCTTGTTTTGTGAGCCACTATGGTGATCAGCCACGGCCTCCTGTTTGAAGCTATCCATTGGAACCTGGAGTCAGGAATTCACCCAACCTTCCTTTCCTAAAATTTATCAGTAGTCAATAGTTCAAAGGTAAAGGGCACGGCCCTATGAGCCCCACCCCTTTCTAAACTGTTTGTAAATTGCCTTGAAGGGTCCCGTCAGGCTGTGACTTACTGATTACAATGCTTGTCTGGGTCTAAGGAATGGCTTTCCCCAGTCCTGTCCCCTGGTCTTACATATGTCCCGCCCACTCTTCCTCAGGGCCCCAGGGCTTAGAAGGGCTGGACTCTCATGGCTGGGCCCACATCCATTGCTAAATTTACGCATCCTGTACAGCCGCGAGTCTCCACAGATGCTGGGATGTGCAGCTTCTCTGTTGAAGGCTAGGATGCGCTTTTGTCAGTGGTGGAAACACAGGTGATCAGAAGGCATTTGCTGCTGCATCCCTTTGGTTAACCATTGGAAATACGTTCCCACGTGGACCCACTCCCTCCTCATGCCTGAGCTGTTAGCCCGGCTCACAGTACCAGGCTTTGATCCCCCTGCCCCTGTGGAGTGAGTCTTGAATCCTTTCAGAGAGTAGTTGGTTATCTCTCTACAGTCAAGCTGCTGTTGCAGAGAAGGGCACAGCTTGTTCCAACTGGTTTCCTTACACTCTTTTTTCCTAGTTAGTTCTCCCCCCCCTATGCCACACCCTCATTTCCACAACCCCCCACCTCTGTCCTTCTACTTTTTAAAATCTATGTTGTACTATCTATCCCCTCTCCCTCCAGACCCTCCCCTACCACTCTATACCAACCCTTGCCCATTCTCTGGCTTTTGCACAATATTCATATTGGACACGCTATACAGAGCTGACACTAGGATCCTCATGAGAAAGAACATGCAGTGCCCATGACAGAGCTTAGAATAATCTTTTCCAGTTCCGTCGGTTTCCCTGCAAATCTTACGGTTTCGTGTTTCCTTCCAGCTGAGTCATATCGTCGTGAATATGTACCACATCTTCACTACTCACTCGCCAGTGGCAAACAGCTGTGGGCACGGATGGACAGGTATCCCTGTGGTGGGACAGCCTTTGGGGGAAAGCCCAGGGATGCTAGGTCTGGCATGCATGGTCGTTTTATTTTTAATCTTTTGAGACCTCTCCAGAGCAATTTCCAAAGTGTCTGTCTGTACTTGTTCACAACCAACACATCCGTCACACCAGCGTTTATTGTTCCTGGTGTCCTCCGGGATGGGCATTCTGCCTGGGGAAAGAGAAATCTTACATTGACTTTAGTTGGCACTTCCGAATGGCAGCTGATGCTGAACACTTTTTTTAAAAGTGTTTCCTAACCATTTGTATTTCTTCTTTTGAGAACTTAGTTATGTAGCGCATTTTTAAAATCTGAATTATTTGTTCTCTTCTGTTTAGGTTTTTGAGCTCTTTGTATATCCTAAACTCTGATCCTGTGTCAAATGGAGAGCCAGCAAAGACCTGCTCCCATTCTGTGGGTGCCTCCTCTCTTGATTTACAGCTCCCTTTCCTTTGTCATTTCATCTCGCGAGATCCATTGTTGATTGCTGTTCTAATCTCCTATACTGGCTTGTACCTATGTACCTAAATGTCCACTTTTTTCTTTAGTATTTTTTGAGTGTGAGGATACCTCTTTTTTGGGAGGAAGGTGGCATAGAGAGTTACAGGTAACTTGTTTGGAACTCACTTTGTAGTTAGGATGATCTTGAACTCCTGGTTCTCCTGCCTGCACCTCCGCGTTGCTGGGGTTGCAGTCTTGTACCCCACACCCAGCTCCCTGAGAGCCCTTTCCAAAGTAGGTCACATCCACAGGACTCCGCAGGACTTGGGATAAGGAGCCGCGTCAGGAACTTGCACACAGAAGTAAGTTGGTCCATCCATCCTCGGGAGGTAGGGAAAAGCAGAGACCACTTAGGAAATCATCCCAAGGGCTGAGGTTTGCTAAACAAGTCCCCAGCGGCAACAGTAGCAGGGAAGAGTGACACTTACAAAAGACACAGCAGAAGGAGATGCACCGGTAAACACATGGACACATGCTCGACACTCTCAGCCATGAGGGAGATCCAAACCATCTCACCCTAGTCAGAAAACAAGCCAGGGCTGGTGAGGGTGCCAGACAAAAAGCCCTCACCGGGCCCACTGGTAGGAATGTGTGCTTCAAGGCCACCATGGAAACCAATAGGGAAGTTCTGCCAGAAGCTGAAAAGGCAGCAACCATGTTACTGACTGTTACATATTAGAGATGTCAGCATGTCACCTGCAATTGAGTTATAGAATCGGCCCAGGTGAAATCCTATATGTGCATGCACACAACACACAACACACACACACACAACACACACAACACACACACACACACACACACACACACACACACACACACACACACGTACCATTTGGCCATAAAGAAGACTTGGAGGTCACCATGTAGAGGGAAATAAGCTAGACTCAGAAAAACAGTGTGTGTTTCTGCTCATGTAGAATCTAGATTATGCAGTTGTTTTAAAGATGACAACAGAAGGGCTTTTGTTTGGGAAGAGAAAGGGGGTCCATGACAGAGACCAGTAAACAGACTTGGGGAGATACTGCTAAAGGACATTGCATTCATATAAGAAGAGCTCTTCAGGGGACCCATTATCTATTGCAACTAATACAATGCAATCAAAACTACAATCAGTGGTCACAGAAGAGATCATATCTGGCCCTTTCACTGTTCTCTGAGGACCTCCGTCCTGTCTGAGCTCCTCTGGGTTTCCATGAGCCTGGTAGACTAAGTCGCTTCTCCCTTCCCTTGGTTAGACTATGTAAATCTGTTAAACCAGACTATCTTGTGTCCCCACTCAGGAATCCTATCAGTAAATGTATAAATCGTGGGGGAGATGAACGTCCGGTATCATTTCTTCCATGTCTCTTCGCATTAATCAGAATTTTCAGAACCCTGTTAAGCAACCATCTACCCAGTAAGCACGTCATGGTTTCTCGGTTTCCTAGTTTCTACTTTTTATTGTGATAAGGAAACAGACCATGCCTAGCATTTCAGTATCTTTAAGAACCTCATGCACGTCTTCTACGTGAGGAATGTGGCATTTACACACAGACGTCTACTCAACTGAGCCTGGAGGTGATGACCCCCAACTCAGGAGGTCTGATCCCAGTTCCCTGTGCTTTCCCAGCCCAGACAGATAACTTGGACACACCCATCTGGAACGCAGCAGGACCTCCTGCCGTGAGACCTCAGCAGGGCTTCTCCCAGAAGTTCTGTGCTCCTGAGGCCTCGCCCAACTGTCCCCACCCAACTGTCCCCACCCACTATGATTAGGCTGTTCCTTTGTTGTCAAGACCAACTGGTGCTCCAACCCCAGGTCACCTGCTGACTCCTCAGCCGTGACCTTGGGCCTGGCCTAAGTGTCTCCACCCCAGGTTCCCAACCTCCAGGTGTCCTCAGGTCCTCTCACCTGACCCAGCCTGGGCCAAGAAGGAGACTAGCTTCTAGAATGTTCTATGGTAGCTAGCATCTGGTTCTGAGCACTGCTTCTCATCTTTTAATCTCTTACCTTTTTTCTGTCCCTCCTTTCCAGCATTTGTCCCTTCCTCATCTGAGTGACTACCACAGCTATCCTCAGAGATGGGGGGGGGGGGCTGCAGGGGAGAGGAGCTGCGGGGCGGGGGAGGTGGGGAGGGAGACTGCGGGGGGCGGGGGGGGAGGGAGACTGCGGGGGCGGGGGGGGAGGTAGGACCCCTCTGCAGTGCCACCCCGTGCCCAAGTGCTGCAGGAGCTCTGCCCACTGGCACCCAGGCCATCTCCAGAGCCCATTCCCATCGTCGGGTCCCGGGCAGGCCCTGCCCCACCCCTCTTTTCCCTCTTCCGGCGCCAAGCACAGAGGTGGGGATTGTCCCGGTACCTTCCCGGCTCCCGGCAGCACACAAAGAACAAGGGTCAGTTGGTCTCTAGCTCTGCTGTTACTCAGAGCTCAGTCCTCTAAAGCGCTGAGATTTTTCTGCTCCTTCTTCCCACAGCTCTGGCAACTGTACTTTTGTGGCTATTGTCATTTCTATTTCGGTTCCTAATTGCTATTGTAGAAATCTGTGCCTTGCTGAGGCTTTGGGAGTTACCAATCTGTGAGCGCCCTTCAGATGTAAATGCGTTATGCAAATGCAGTCTGGGGCCCTGAGTGGGACCCTGTGGCCTTCCCTGGATAGCCACAGGGAGCAGACAATCCCCTGACCTCCTTCAAAGCTGGCTGCTCTACGAAGGCTTCCTGTCTCCGAGCTTCCTCTCCCATTCCCAAAGCTGAATGTAAAGAGTGCTCACACAGACTGCTGCTTGGGGCCGGTGTTCCTTGGCGTGTGTGTACTTCCCCAAGGTCTCAGGACCCGGTAGGAGAGGGGAATATTATGTACAGGACTTCCTTTTTTCCATCACTTGTCTGACAATGTATTAAAATATAAAATAGTCTGTAGTTAGTGGCATTGTGTCAGACAGATACCTTGCCACCCTAGGAAAGGAGTGTCTTTGAAAGGGGTGCAGGACCCATTCCCAGAAGTCCTTCCCATCCATGGGGCTCTATGCTGCCTTCTTTCTCCTGCCAGCCACCTCACCTCTGCCTTCTTGTCCTTACACCAGGCAAGGAACACACTGTTCTCTGTGGGCATTAGATGTCTCAGAGGATTCCGAGATTCTAATAGCAATCTAGTCCTCAGAAAGTTCTCAGCCCATAAATTCATAAGCCTGCCAGCCCTTTCAGCGTGTGACTTTGGGCTCTACTGTGCCAGGAGCTCTTCTGAGCTATGGGAAGGATAAATTTATGAACCCCTTTGCTTGGATCTGTGCTTGCTTCTAGTTTCAGTGTTGTTTATTGGTATTATCTGTGAATGTGAGGGGAAAGTTAGCACGGTGCATAGAAATGTATTCGGTAACCAACTAAACTCTGGGGAAATGCCCCCAGCCCATGATGCTGAGCTATTTGTCTTTATCCATAATAATATATAATATTTAAATTCCCACAGTTCTGCTGTATCGTTCTGAATTTGAGAGAAAGTAAGGGGAACCTGTTCTCTGCTAAAATATCATTTATGTTCTAAAGTGCTAAAAAAATTAAACCAAAAACCTTTCAAGTGAAATTAACTTAAAAGAGAATGTTTTCTTAGTCCCTGCCTGCCGAGATCTCAGGATCCGTGGGAATAGATGCTATGTAGAAATGGACACTTGAACTCTGAGTCCAGGGGAAATCCCCTTCGTGTAGGCTCACAGTAGCCTCCTAATTCCTCAGCAGCTCCCAAGGCCTGATAAACTGGAGTCTCTGATCCACTCAGTGACAACCCGCCTCTCTCTTTCCACGTCTAATAACAAATCACAAATGAGCACCTCTAGGAAAGGGATTTGTGATTCAGCTCTGTCACTCAGATGCCATGGGCACAGCATTGTCTTCACCTGTACTGGTTCCACCCAGATCTACAGACAGCAGTCTCTGCCTTCAGTGACGTTCTCAGGGAAGAAACGGATCTGGCTTGCCTGAAATATGAATGTCCTGATAGTGTGGAAAATCAATGAATATTCTTGCCTCTAGGCCTCAGGTTTTAACAACTTCTAAGTTGGCTATTTTGCCTCCCCCTGCCATACAGGGACCTGTAACTTATGGCTAAGACTTTGAGGAAAGGGAACCAGACGTCTTGAGTGCCTGCAAGGCAGTCATTGTAACAAAGGACCTCATTCCCCAAGGAGCAGCGGCTCACCAGAGCATGGCCCAGACTCTCGGCACAGTGGGAGGATCATGAGACAGCCATATTTCCCTTTCCCCCCGCTGTGTGACAGCCTACAGGGCTTGCCTGAGAAGGCCACAGTGGAAGGCCTCGTTCCCTGAGACACAAGCCGCTCTGCACACCCTCCCTTCCAGTGACAGAGTTTGTAGCCGGCTCTCTTGTACAGGCAGCAGCAGAAGAAACTGTCTCACGGGGCGTTCAAGACATTTCCCCGCCGATATCAGGAGCTAATGACCTAGAGTGAGGTTAAAAATGGCATTCCCCCAAAACAATTTATGAAAGGCCTATTACCTAGCAATTTCATATTCGAATGCAATTATGTTCATGTTATTAGTGCATCATGAATGGTACTAATATGATTATTGTTTTGTGTGGTATTACAGGAAATTGATTTAAATAGATTTACATATTTTTCAGATAAAGGGCACTGCTAAGGTGGATAAATAGGAAATTTGACATTGCTTTGAAAACAAACAGCAAGGCGAAGCGGGTTAGGTTTCATCTGCGATGCTATCACAGATATTATTGTGCCTTCTGGTTAGTGCCAATATTTTATAATTTCAAAGGGTTTTGTTTTGTTTTAAAGGAATAATTTGACTTCACCTCACTAGGCCCCTCCACAGTGCTTTTAGCTCCCTTTGCAGCTGAGCGAGGACCACCGTATAATGAAACCTCTTGTCCCAGATGCCCCCAGGTACAGACACTGCACTACTTAAACTCACCTGCCCAGGCCTCTCTGTTTATGTCATCTGCAAATGGAATTTACTACATCAGATCGGCCAGGTTCTGATTAAATGAGGCCAAGGCCACTGGAAGAGGGGTCTCTCTCTGAAGCTCACTGGGACAGCTGATTTCAGCATCCAAGGACCACTGTATCTTCTGGGAGTCCAGTCTCCCTTCCAGCAGACAGGCCCACATTCGCTGTGTAGCTGCTGTGTCCTGGCTCTCACACCGCTGTGCTCTCCTATCAGGACCAAGCATAGGAGCTTACAGCACTCAGCCAACACAGATGCTAGGGGCCTGCTGAAACAGCTCAACGGGGACAGAGAAGTCACCACGATGGCTACCGTAGGGGAAGATCTTGGCTAGGCCTGGACAGAGCCGGGACAAGCAGTTCCACAGCTCCTGAGGTCAGTGGGCTGTGAGGGCAGCAGGAGGAGGGGAGACTAGCCAATCAAGCTTCACCCTCCTCATGGCAATGTGTTTGTTCATTTATCTCCCATGCTGAATGCCATGGCGGTCGTCTGGTACCAGAAGTGATTCAACCTATGAGGACAGAAAGCATCTTAAATCCCAACTCTGCTGACGGATGTGTTTCCAAGATTATACGTTCCCCATGGGACCACAACCCTGCGCTTGTTCCGTGTGGCGTTCAAACCACCACACATCTGAAAGGGCCTTCAAAGCAGTGGTGCGGCCCAGATTTTAGTCAAGAGATATCGCAGAGGACCTAAAACACCAGATTAAAAAAATGATCATTACTCGATGGATCAATTCTACTTACGCCGACAGGTCTTAATTCTCAGCTCTTCCACAATGCTTTAAAATAGCTTGTTCTCAGAGGACGTCAGACCAATCCCAGAGAGATGTAGATTATTTGCTGTGAGTGAAGACGGACCAAGTGGGCAGACTAGCAAGTCCCCTACAAATACCTGACCCGCGTGTAATGGAGGCGCTTCTGATATTTCCCAAGCCACTTCTACAATAGCAGAGGAGAAGTGAGGTAATCAGAGCAGCTATTTTACTGCCGAACCACTTTTAATTCTGAGAAGAGCATATAGCAGAGAAGATGCTGGTGCCTTGATATGCGGCTTTGAAGATATTAATTTTAAGAGAACAGAAGGTTATTCAAATGACATATAAATGTAGCGCATTAATTTTAACAGAAAATCCAGTCACTTGGGATGGGACAATATTGAAGTATTGTACAAACTAATCTTCCATTCAAATAATCTGCAGTTTCAAATCTCAGAAATGAAAACATTTTACTTACAAACATATTACTTCAGACTTATGCTATAACCAAAGCCGTTTGCTTTCTTTCAGAAGAAAGGTGTCAAAAGTTCAGTGTAGTGCTCATGTTCTTTCTTGACAGCTAAGTCCCTTGCTTTTCCCCATTGTGTGTGTGTGTGTGTGTGTGTGTGTGTAGCTGTGAGCTAAGTCTCTCAAGGTCAGTGGCCTGCCAACTTTCATGTGTTGCTTTTCCCCATTGTGTGTGTGTGTGTGTGTGTGTGTGTCTGTGTGTGTGTGTGTAGCTGTGAGCTAAGTCTCTCAAGGTCACTAGCCTGCCAACTTTCATGTGTTGCTCATTCGTACTTTATTTTTCCCCCAACCTCCCTCAGAAACAAGACAGGAAGCACGAGGATTACTGCTCACGCGTGCTCTCTCTCTCTCCCTCTCCCGCTCTCTCTCTGCAGTATACACTAGCTGGGAGCTTTAAGGGTTCTCTACCCCATCTCCATCTCCCCATAGCACTGGGATTACAGATGCACACATTTTTGCATCAGAGTTAGGTGAGTTCTGGGGCTTTGAACTCAGGACCTTATGCTTGCGTGGCAAGTACTTTATCCGTGGAATAATCTGCTCTTCTCTGGTTTTGGTTTTGGAAACCTGACCTCACTGTGTAAGTCAGGTTGAACTCAGCTTGTGGCCCTCGGCTTCTGCCTTCCAAGCACTGGTGCTGGTTCTGGGCACTACCGCGCCTGCCATCGTCTGCCCACATCCTCACTGAGTTTGTCAATGGTCTTCGTGGCTCCTTCCACGTTGATCTCTGCTTCGTCAGCTCATCTTTCATCGTCTCTAATCACCCTGGAGCCTGGTCCCTGAGATGCTGGACTTTGATTTTCAGGGTTCTATTCTCTCGTGACCTCCTCTCCATTCAGTTCAGCTTTCTGATGAAAGTATTATTCAGTCAAAGGTTTGTCAGCCTTGGAGTTTTGTGGCCGTGTGTGTGTGTGTGTGTGTGTGTGTGTGTGTGTCCTTCTAATGTGCCTTTCTCCATGTTCTCTGTATGCTATCAGTTTTCTGATGACCTTTATTTCAAATTGTTCACTTTCAAAATCCATTGGATCTTTGTTAATTGGAAAGGCTTTCTATAAGGGAAGACCCAGTGCAGAGGGATAGGCTGCTCTTGGATTATCTTATTTGGCAGAAAAATTATTCTCTCTAGTTCCCTAAACCAAAGTGACGAAGGAGGGAGGTACTTTTAGGCCATGCTGTGATCCACTGTTGCATCACAGGACGTTGCCTGATACACGATTAATAAAAACTCAGAGAG